AATAAATAAATAAAATAAAAATTGATAACGTTGATTTCCCAAAAAAAAAAATTGCTTTAGTGCCTATTGGTCTTTCTTAAGTATTTAACGTAATCGTGTATAAGTTAGTTTCGGTCAAAAACCAGAAGTCCAGAGAAAAGCCTTCACAATCAACTCGAATCACTGGCTCATCCGTCAAGTTACTTCGAGTGCACGTAAGTGAAATGACATAACTTGAACGGGACAAGGTTGCATTACCGAAAATAGCCACGACTCAAGCTCTGATGAGTCACGCGGGCCGTGACTCAGACCGAGATGCAGCCGATCGCGGATTCGTCATGTCAAGATATCGCATTTCGCGTCCTGACGATGCGTTCGAACCGGTCTTCGTTTGCCTCGCCCGGTGGTTATTCGCGATTTTATCACTAGGGTTTGGACGTTATCGAAAATACTGTACTTTTTGTTATTTTCTAAGCGCAGCGTGTGGATGGAAGTTGTTCAATCGCTCAGTTCGTTAAAAAACTTGCTGTCAGCGGACGTGTCAGAACATGTCGCAAGAAGATTGGGTTGAGTTATTGGGAGAGCTTTAATTATCCAGATTATCACGACCGCAACAAGAAAAATGCTGCCTATGATAGGCTAATTATTAAGTACAAACCGATTGATCCTAATGCCAATAGGGATACTGTAGTAAATAAATTTAATAACCTGCGGACTTCTTACAAGAAACAACTCAGCAAAGTCAAAAAGATTACACGTTTGCAGTTTGAGCTTCTGCAGAGATCTAACTATCGATTCACATATCGTTGACGCGTGGACACTCAATGGGCGCACGATAAACTGCACAGTTGTAGTGTATACCGACCATAACGTTTGGGCGTTTGGGTTTGGACGTTATCGAAAGTGTTGTACGTTTCTTTATTTTCTCGTTAGTTTGGCCAGAGCTCGCGGGTCGTAGGGCGTCGCTGAAGCCCGCAAAAACAGGCCAAAGACCCGCATGTTCCTAAAGGCCCCGAGCTAAAAGATATAGACTATATAAAAAAAATTCAACTTCAATAAAATCGCAACATCATCAATGTCTATGTCGACTAAGCTAGTTAGATATGCCTTATTAAGGAAAACTAGAAAAGTACTGGTCGGATCTTGATACAATTTAAATGAGAAGAGCATGAGGAGCACTAGCTATGAAATAAAAAAAAAGGGCACGCAAATAGATTTACTTAGAAACACATAAAAACACTAATCGAATTGAGAACTACATTTTTTTTGAAGTCGGTTAAATATTGCACAGTGGGTACGGGCTCATAAGTCTACAGTTTCAATAACCGAAAAACTATGTATTTAGTCTGCGCTTATACATATAGAGCGTGTATATTATGTAGGATGATCATGATCAAAGATACGACAGTTTGCAACCTGTTTATTGTCCAACGACTCGATACAGACTAAACTAAACACGCTTCACTGTTTTATTTATATTTTTTATTGCCCTTGTAGGCAGACGAGCATACGGCGCACTTGACAGTGAGTGGTTACCGTCGCTCATGGACCTCAGCAATGCTTGGGGCAGAGCCAACGTGCAACAGAACAGAACTATGTTAAGCAAAAACATAAATTATTTTAAATAACTAACTTTGAAGTTTATGACCCAAACATCGGTTAGGTTACCTAGTAAACTACTTAGGGTTGTTATGTGCATGTTGATTTGGCTCACAGTTTCACAACCGGCCGTCATTCTGCTTACAACCCTAATAGGATTAAAAGCCTTAGCATTGTCAAATCAGAATAACATATTGTAAAGCTGTAAAGGACAATGCCCATATTCTATGGGCGTTTGGGCCCCTAAAAAAAGTTGTCGTGTCATGATGGTTTTAACTTAATTTGATAGACAAAGAAATATCGTTTCATATTCAGAAAACGATTTTTATATTCTCATCCAGGTTTAAGAGAAATCTGTTTTTTTCTGCAGCTAAAATTAAGTTGTTAATTGTTTTCTTCGAAATCAATAATCGCTCTCATCATTATTTACAGTATTAAATAAGTTAATTGTGGTTAATGTTGCTAGAAATAAGCCCTACATTTTATTATTATTATATCCTCATAATAATAATAAAATGAAATGAAATCCGGAAGTCGGCAACGATATTGTTGTTGTTGTTTTTAAATTCGCCAATAAGCAGGCAAAGAGAGTAGCCTATACAGCCTAATCTGTCGTAGTTATATTTTTTTTATGTCGTTAATCGTGAACAACGATTATTGACGTTTAATACACAAAACAACACCCAATATATATACATATTATACATCACAATAAACTATTAAAAAAACATTAAAATAAAACTTCAAGTGACGCTTCACTCGGGTTGCTGCCAAAACTCTGATCATATATAATAAGAGTAGAGTAATGGTAGGCCATTGAGATTTTTACTAATGGAATCATTCATATCTAAAGATATTCAATAATTCACGGTATTAAGTAATAATTATTATAACAATATATAAATATTGAATTGAACAAAAATAAACTAAAAAGTCTGTGAATTATAACCATTAGCTATTTTTTTAATATGTTGTTCAAGTCACAGGCAACTCTTTCGTTTGGCAGCATATAGGTTTACTATAAGGCTGTATGGGCTAAGCCCTTTGCCTATTGGCGAATTTAAAAACGATGGCACTCAGTTTTGGGATGATAACAATTAAGTAATTTATTTTTTTGTAAAACAATGCCAGGGTGAAAGAAATTATGATACTCAACTAAACAACGTGAAAAAATAAGTCATAGTTTTTCAAGTACAAATAGTTTTGACATAAAGTTGGCCCACTTTTGGGCATTGTCCTTTATGCGGGACATTATCGCAACTTTTCTATCTCATCAATTCTATATATATTAGCCTAATCAGCATAAGTTAGACCAGAGGCTCTCAATCTTTTCTAACTCAACGACGCTCTTAATTTTTTTTTTACATTTTTACTCCAAATGAACCCCAGAGATGAAATTCCCCGGGTCACCATTGATAAGAATATTTGTAAATCTCGCACACGCTTGGCACAAACAAACAAAATACACACATTTGAATGAGGTGTAGACATATGTATGTGCCTTCGATTTAATATGCGATTTATAAAAATTGAAATACTTTATAATTGTACTATCAAGTCGGCTAACGATACTTGTAATTATACGTAGAGCGATTAAGGCACGGTGTGCAATTAATAAAATTACCATAAAGTTGTTCTATACGAAAGAATGTTTTCAAAAGTGAAAGTTTACGTGTAAGAATGCAAACTATTATATTTTGGTTATGGCCGCTTGCAGCGAATTTTGGAGCGAACTTTCTAGATATTTCAAATTCGATGCCCGATTTTATTTTGTTTTGATACAACGGTAAATGCGTTTGTCTTGCGAAGCACTGCTCTTGCTTAGGGCTCTCGTCTTCATCCTTCCCTCACTGCTGAGGATCGCGACCACATGTGACGTTCCTCCACAGTGTTCGATCATGGGTGGCATGGACCGCATGTTACAGACTTCCTTTACAAGTGTCTGCTAATTCTCGCACATTGAGCCCGTGAGCTCACCTAACCGTTAGAGCGTAAATGGAATAGTCCCCTAGGCTACCAGCGAATAGGTAGGGAAAACAAAAGCATTTGTCTACATTTAATTATACTTTAAGTGATTTTTCTACTGTAAGATAAGATTAAATATTTGAGAAGTTTAACAACCAAGGGAAGATCTTCGACTGTGCTGGTGATATTTTGCTCGGTAGACCGACGGTTCGAATGTTGTTGTTTGGAACTTGTAGCTTATCTTGACAATGTCGTAAGCGAGATTCAGGCATCTGTCAAATGCGTTCCGTTGTATGATGGCTACCCGCCACAAATAATTACAATTATGCGATGTAGCTTTATTAAATAACTAGCCGAACACGCCGGCTTCGCTGCGCATTTAAAATTAACATTATTATTTATTGTCACTATTATTAGTGAGTCCAACACTAATATAAATATTAGCCTATACATTAAGTACATGTACTTTCTACATGGATACCAAGTTTCAAGTCAATCGGATGCATGGTTCAGTAGTTATAACGGAACATCCGTAAAAACCACTGTAGATTTATATATTAGTATAGATTTGGAGTGTGTGAGTACTGAAAAGCGATCCATTCAGCAATTATCAATCAAGTCGCGATCACACGATACATTCTGAACCAGTTTTTTTGCCTTCTATGGGAATGAAGCCATATGGCCAACACAATGGCCTACCTTCTCGTTTTTATGTTTCAATTTGCTTCGTTTTGGCTGCATAAATGGGTGAAGGGTGACACGGTACATAAACTTGCCATTCGTGACGTTTTACGTATTTGTATACACCCCCATATTTCCAATTTCCGTGAGATTTAAAAGGCGATGTAGAATAACAATAGAAAAAAAAAACAAATTATGATTATTATTAAGACGCTCTAAGTTTGAGAACCACCGAATGACACCTCTGCCAAAATGTTGATTAACACACATTACAGCATAGCTTAAGACCAGCGAAGCAATGGAAGGACAAAAACAGATGACAAGATGTCTTATGCGATGTTCAAGTGATAAAATAAGTAGCTTAAACCGAACTGACAATTAATTTAATCCATTATTTTTGTTATCCTGTTGTCACTGGTCAGGATATTAGAGTGAAGTTATAAAATTATTGTATCCTCATCGGTCCTTGAGCCTTCTTAATTTAGGTTTGCTATTTAAATGTGCCTTTTTTAAGGTTTTTGAATATATATTTTTACTATTGTATTCTCCCGGCTAAGTTGCGCTGTGTTAGGTAAATTAATGAGAACAATTTGGCACTAAATTTCAAATCGATCGGATAAGCGATGTCCGAACGCAGTAAAACAATATTATTGACGGATAGTATTAACATTGACAGAGTTGAAAGTCGTCATGTATGTCTTAGAGTTTTTTTTTGGATCATTGAAAACCTTAACCTTTATGATCAATATACTCATTGGCAATTTTCCTTGTTTCAGGATCTCATACCCACCCAAGAAACGGAGTCTTATTTGCTCAAAACGCAAAACGCAATATCGAATCTTCAAGCTAAACTACAGTCATCTAGGACGAGCAACTTTTCCAGTATACCGTCGCAACTCACCACCAGTATGATCAGCGAGAAGACAGCCATATCCCGACTTCCGATCTCGCAGCTTAGCCGCTCCAACTCGCTCAACTACCGTCTCCGGAAGAAGGATAACTCAGGAGACAGCAGTCCCCTCCGAAGCCCCGGACATTACGTGATCACTGGGTCAACGAAAATCCCCGAAACCACGCAAATTCTTCTCAATAACGCTTCCCGGTCACTGGAGACGGATCGAAAGAAATACGACAGCAACATGAATAGTCCGTCTTCTGATAGGGGCGGTCTTCTAAGCACCAGTTCCGATGACAAGACGCTGTCAAATCGCTACGACGTTGAGGCTATACTCTCGCCGCACAGAAAACACGCAAGGCACAAATCCGCGGATGTAAGGCACAGCGAGAGGAACTTGGACAACGCCAGTCAAATGAGACTGAAGAATACATTAAGGAACAACGTACCGGAAGAAAACTCTCAGAGGATCGATCAAATACGTTGTCAGGGAAACGCCAAAGTTAGGCCCGACATAACGTCTACGATCCGACGTTCGAGCTCTTTTAACACTGTCAATAAGAATAACAATTATATCGAAACGAGACATAATTATAGAAGACCCAGCGGTCAGTCTGAGGAGTGCAATTGCTCCGATGATTCAGACAATGTTTCTCTCGGTAAATGCAAAGATTACAAATACAAAATGCTCCGAGGCAGGTTAGACTCGGCCGAGTTGAAGTCAGCAGTGCCAGCCAATTCGCCAAAATGTCCTAATACGCCAGAAATGCAGCGGAAATTCGGACATGGCCTGGTGAGGAATTCGGTTAGAGTCACGACTAAAGAGAGGGGGAGCGTCCCAAGGTCCGAACCTTTGAGGGATGAGAGAAACAAACCAATCGGACACCAGAGCAGGAGGATATCGGAGCCGACGCGGCAGGCCATGATCAGTCGGCTGACAAAGTCCAGATCTTCAACGAGAGAGGTGCAATTGAAGACCCAGGAAAAAGGTTACTTAGATATTATGCTGCTTAAGATCATTTTTATGGTGTAAACGGTTAAGTGATTGACGCTGCCCATAGTCATGACAATTAAAATGCCGCGACCTTCCTTAAAAAATGAGGTATGCATCTCAGTTGTATCGTGATTAAGCCCATAATAATTTTTGTGTCGTTGATTTTATTACATGATAGTATTTCTTTGTCGTGGAGTCTTTCGTGAACGTCACTTAAGTACGTATTTCATTAGAGTATATTAGTACCTGCCTGCTAGATTCGAAGACTGGTATAGTTGCCTCGCTCGATACGTGTTCGACCCATAGACACAAGCCACTTACTCGTCGGATCTCCTCAGTGGGTCGCGATTCCGATGCGCTAGTAGATTCTGCGAAGCACTGCTCTTGCTAGGGCTAGTGTTAGCAAATTTTTTCAAGTTAAGTCCGTGAGCTGTGAGAGAGCCAGTGATTTGGTAGGGGGAAAGAAAAGTATACCAGACGTTTTATCTTTCAGACCACGACGGCTTTTCACGGCGTTTTCATTTAGAAAGAGATTAGTCATCATTACATTCATTGTATTAGGAATGTTTCATTTTTGGGTCAATCGTGCGAAGTTAAACTTATAAGTACGTAATAAAGATTGTAATGCAGATAAGCTTGCATTGGATTAATGCAGTTCTGAAACTTGGTTGTAAACAAATTATTTAAATAATCTAAGTTTTGGGTTTAATTTTAAATTGAAAATGAGCCTGTGTGAACTCTCACGAATATTTGCTTACTAAAAAAAAACTCTACTTCATGTTTTATGAAATTGTCAAAAGGGAAACTTAGTTAGCTTCAATTATTGGATCTTTAGGTCAAAAGAAACCAAGCCAGCACAGGTCTTCATCAGCGTTAGCCACAAAGGAGGTGGAATTCTCCAACTGGAAGAAGCGCTCTTCCTATGACCCGATGAAGGCGGCCCAGGAAGGCAGGAGACGGCAACAGATGTCGAAACGGCAGGAAAATAAGGACGATCTCAGTTCCCCTAGGTGAGACGCTCTTTCACTGTTTAACATTGAATCATAAGTGTTTGAAATATCCTCTCTAGTCTTTTCCACAAAGCTGTCGATTGGATGAAGTCGAAACTAGTGTGGTAATGTTTATGGATGATTTTGTTTTCTTAACTACCCTCTAAGATTACTCTGTGATTCAATAACTCGCATTAGAGTCTTCGTTGGGATAGAACATAACCAAAAGCAGACGGAGACAATTACGATAGATTCTATGTCCTGCCACTCGGTACCCGCGAGACCGGACAACAAACACTACAACTCGTATATTGATGTTTCGATAGAGCCGGAAGCCTCCTAGGTAACGCATTAACAATAATTGTGCCCACTTCTGGGTCAGATATCCTCACGATGATCCCAAATCGACCAATTTACGATTGACCTATCCCTTGGCCCATAGTTGAAGCGGTCACCGCAGCCAATAGAGATCACAAATTGAAACACCGTCGCTACCATCGGCGTACCAAACTTTAGTTATATACATAAACGCTGCAGTCCCAAGCAAATATCAGTTGAAAAGCCTGTCTGTCAGTCAAAGGGGAATCTCTGTTATTATTTCACGTCATTTCGGATCCTACCGATCCACTAACGGTGCTTTTAGGTACCTCAAGCACCGGTCATCGTTCTCGTCGAATCCGTCGCTTGCGACGAAGGGCTCGGCGAGTAAATTAACCCACAGGCACAGCCCACTGAGTTTCTAACCGAATCTTCTCAGTGGGTCGCGTTTCCGAGCCGGTGGTAGATTCTGCGAAGTGCTGCTTTCGCTAGGGCTAGTGTTAGCAACATTGTCAGGTTTGAGTCCTGTGAGCTTAGCTACTAACTCGGTTACGCTGGCATATCATCTCCTTTTTATAATCGCACCTCCCGCCATCGGAACAGAGTTCATCCATATTATCTGGAACCGCTGCGTTCATCGACAGTGCGTTTCCAAAGATCTTTTTTGCCACGTACCATCCTGCTTTGGAATGAACTCCCCTCTACGGTATTTCCCGAGCGCTATGATATGTCCTTCTTCAAACGAGGCTTGCGGAGAGTACTTAACGGTAGGCAGCGGCTTGGCTTTGCCCCTGGCATTGCTGACGTCCATGAGCGACGGTGACCACTTACCATCAGGTGGGCCGTATGCTAGTCTGCCTACAAAGGCAATAAAAAAATGCCTCTCAAAGATACCTTTTTTTTTTTTTTTTTTCGGGTAGAGGGTCGAACCTCCTACGAGGTCCCCGCGCAAAAGGGGCGCGCGGGGTATGTGAGACTCAACGGTCTGCATGGTGTTGTGAGCAGACCGCGGGCCCAAGGATTTTAGGACCCACCCACTAAACGACTCCCCTGCACTCTTACACCCGACGTCCGATCCCCTCCGAGGTCAGAACCCGGATGAAGTAGGGGGGCAACCGCGGTCAACACTACAACCAGACGGCGCGGCTCACCCCAAGGACGTCCAGCCGACGGAGCCTTCGAGGCGAATCGAAGGCTCTGAAACGTCGGCCGTCTCGGTACGGCAGCCCGTCGGGCCGCCCAGACGGTGCCGCTGGTGTCCCGGAATACCCCGCTGGACCAGAACCAGCCTGCCGGGTCGGGACGCGATATACCGTCGACCGGTCGCTCTAATCACTCCACGGCAGCGCGCTAGAGTGCTGGTAGCGCGCCGCGCGGCCTCACCCCCTCAGGTCACCCCTTAACCTTCACCGGGGGGAGGCCGCCACCTACAGGGGCCGGGACGTACGGGCGTATTCCCGCCTCCGGCCCCCGGCTCGACGGCGACGGATCGGTGCGGAAAGGGAAGAGCTCTCCCTCTCTCGCTCCGCCGCCTCCTTCTGCGATATGGTGGACTCGCAGAAGTCGAGCATCGCCTTCCAGGACGCGTCGCTGCCGAGCATCGTAGCCACGNGGAAGCGCATCAACAATAATTGCATCCACTTCTGGGTCAGATATCCTCGCGATGATCCCAAATCGACCAATTTACGATTGACCTATCCCTTGGCCCATAGTTGAAGCGGTCACCGCAGCCAATAGAGATCACAAATTGAAACACCGTCGCTACCATCGGCGTACCAAACTTTAGTTATATACATAAACGCTGCAGTCCCGAGCAAATATCAGTTGAAAAGCCTGTCTGTCAGTCAAACAGGAATCTCTGTTATTATTTCACATCATTTCGGATCCTACCGATCCACTAACGGTGCTTTTAGGTACCTCAAGCACCGGTCATCGTTCTCGTCGAATCCGTCGCTTGCGACGAAGGGCTCGGCGAGTAAATTAACCCACAGACACAGCCCACTGAGTTTCTAACCGAATCTTTTCAGTGGGTCGCGTTTCCGATCCGGTGGTAGATTCTGCGAAGTCCTGCTCTCGTTAGGGCTAGTGTTAACAACATTGTCAGGTTTGAGCCCCGTGAGCTCACCTACTCGCTCGGTTACGCTGACATAGCTTCTCAAGGCTACCTACCAGCTTGGGTAGGAAAAAAAACCTGCTATTATTCCAGTCACTCGTCTCCGGTGCATCGATCGCAGTCGTTCCACACGACCAATATAGCGGATCTGACCCTGGACTACACCTCCGAGGAGTCCGAAGACGACCTCCACGCGTTACCCGTCGACCCGATGATCACCTCCACGCACTCCGACATCGTCGAGCTGAGGTCCAGGGACTGCCACAGTCTGAGGAGACAGGCCCTGAACAGCGACGTGAAGCTGGGCAGGAGTTATGTGGCTAATTTTCAGGTACGGCCAATTGTTGTTTAAAGTCGAAGCCCTTTTTTTATTGCTTGGATGGGTGCACGAGCTCACAGCCCACCTGATGTTAAATGGTTACTGGAGCCCATAGACATCTACAACGTAAATGCGCCACCCACCTTTGAGATATAAGTTCTAAGGTCTCAAGTATAGTTACAACGGCTGTCCCACCCTTCAAACCGAAACGCATTACTGCGTCACGGCAGAAATAGGCGGGGTGGTGGTACCTACCCGAGCGGACTCTCAAGAGGTCCTACCACCAGTAAAAAGTAACGAAGTGCCCTTGTTAGCACTCCGTTAGGGGTGGCACTAAATGAAAAAATCACTTTTGTTTGGTCCACAATTTTAACACCAGTTCTGCGCGCCATATTAGGGGTGGTTCCAATGCTATTTATGGTCATCACATCGCGTATTCTGCTGCCTCAAAAGAAAGCTTTGAAGTGTCGATTGCTTTGATACAAGGTATCTTCGACTATTCAAAGTAGAAGGCAAGTTTTGTGGTAATGCACGGTCATTCAACCCCAAATTAGGATTCTCTGTCTTATTGGTACCAGAGACTGACATACATACTTATATACATTTAAATATATACACATATAAATAACTAGCTGTACCCGACCGCTTCGCTGGGCATTTAAAATTAACATTATTATTTCTCACCCCCACAAAGATTCTCATCATTAACGCTCCCGCAACTGGTGTAGGGAGTCCAACACTCATATAAATATTAACCTATCCATTAAGTACATATTGTATTTTCTACATGGATACCAAGTTCAAGTCAATCGGATGCACGGGTCAGTAGTTATAATGGAACATTCGTAAAAACCACTGTAGATTTATATATTAGTAGAGAAGTATAGATAATCACCCAGACAAAGGGAAAACAAATCTGTTTATCACACGAATGCTCGTCTGATTTGGGAATTGAATCTACGATCGCTAGTCGCAACAGTTAGAGTCGCTAACTACGGCACCACCGAGTCAGTCATTTCTCACTAATGCACCTAAGTATGTTTTTTTTTATTGCCCTTGTAAGCAGACAAGCATACGACCCACATGATGGTGAGTGATTACCGTCGCCCATGGACTTCAGCAATGCCAGGGGCAGAGCCAAGCCGCTGCCTACCGAAGTCATGTCTCATTACCTCACTCCGAATATGTTTTAATTACAGGTGAACCAACAGGCGGACAAGAAAAGGCGGGAACAGGACAAAAGAAAGACGTTCATATTGGATGACGTCACGCCCACCAAAGAGAATATAGACTTCATTACAAAGACAAGAGACGATGTCGCCATAGACAAGAGGAGAACTTTTGTTCTAGACAGCGACACAAACTCCACCACAAACGGCAGCAGTCCAAGGAACTCTTCTATATTTAGTCATGAAAAAGTAAGACATTTTATTTTATTTTTATTTTCCTATTTTTATTTATAACGCATTTCCGTAAATTTTGAAAATATATTACGCATTTACCCGAAAGTCCCGATAAAAAAATATGACTTGGAATATTTCGGCACGACCTATTTAACTCTTTACGTATATCTGTTATTTAAAATAGGTAATGATTGCAGTAATTTCAAACGATTATGATCTGATTTGCGCATGCGCATCTATCAGTTGTCAAAGCATCCGTCGCCATGACACCAATTAGACAGTTACGATGAGAAATTACATAATTATTTTTTTACTTAAGCGGGTAACCTGGGTCCCTCTAGGGGGTAATGCCAGCGTAACCGGACGTGTAGGTGAGCTCACGGGGCTCAAACCTGAGCGATCACTGAATGAATATAACCACAACACGCTCTGATATACAAAAACAAACTGACAATAATACTGGCCGGTACGAACGTCAAGTGATGTGAGGTCACACGAAATGAAGCTGCGTTTAGTCGCATGCGAGTACTCGCCCACTCGCTAAACTACAATTCGAATCTAGTTTAACGACATCCCCGAACACTGGACGTAAGGAATATCTTCCGCTGAGCTGGTGATATTGCTCGGTAGACCGACGGTCCCAACGTTGTTGTTCGGAACTTGTATATGCAAGCTTATCTTGATAATGTCGTAGGCGGTAACCACAAAAATTAATCGGAGCAAAGCGTAAGTGGGCGTCGATGCGGGTAGGCTCTGACTGAAGTCAGCGCGCTGCTGTGCGCGGACGATGACCTACCGGCCTGACGTTACAGCAAACCGGTTTTCTCTGCGTGTGTCCAATGTAGCCGACTGGTGCGCATCGACACGGCTAAAATTTGTGTCGGAATAAAATGTAGATGTGTGGTGTATGTAAATGTGTCTAAGTGTAAAATAATATGTGGGAGTAGACCACATTGGTGTTGCTAGATTATAGGACTGTTTCTTTGCAGCACTCCTTGACGACTGGTACTAGCGACACGGAGGGCGAGAGTGGAACAGAGAGTGCTCCTGTGGTGTTGAGGCACCCGGGCGCAAAGAGAGGCACCGTCCCTCCCAAACAGAGGTAAATTTAACTCATTCTATAGCTAAACTAGTTCATGATCTATATTCCGTTTATGTTACATTGATTGCTAGTTGTTTTTGTGAATCATTAAGTGTTTAATTACTGGTGGTAGGATCTCTTGTGAGTCCGCACGGGTAGATACCACCGCCCAGCCTATTTCTGCTCTGAAGCAGTAATGCGTTTCGGTTTGAAGGGTGGGGCAGCCGTTGTGACTATACTAAGACCTTAGAACTCATATCTCAAGGTGGCTGGGGCATTCATGTTGTTGATGTCTATAGTAACCACTTAACACCAGGTGGGCTGTGAGCTCGTTCAACCATCTAAAAAAATGCGGATTTTTCATTTAAATTACCCAAACTCAAGGCTGGGAATAAAAAATATTGCCATAATTAAAAAGAAATAAAAACTCCCCAAACAGGTACAGCGGTGATTTCTCGATGACCTCGTCCACCACGTCGATATCGCAGAAGAAGCCCAAAGACATCCAGCCCCGTTACATGGATATCTCGAAGTACAAAAATGACACCTCCCCGAAGAACTTCCTGAGGAGGGATCCCAGCAAGACCTACGTTGGTGTTCTAGGCGAAAATAAAATCAGCCGAGGAAGCGCGCAGCATTATGAAATGGGTGAGCAGAGTAGTACTGAGATTAGTAGTAGTAGTAGAGGATAGTACTAGGTAGTCAGTCTATTGGTGGCATTGCCAGGTCTGTACTATTAGTGCCATATACGTATATCAGGAAGAAAACAAACTTTCTAGTTCGTTTTTGAGTGTAGTCGTTCAATAACTGATTCGAGTAACTTACATTAACCTCTCTAGGTGGAATTAAGAGATGGGTTTTAACTGTTTATTTTTCTCCTTGAAGAGATTATAATAATAATAATAAACCTTTTATTTCCTACTAAATACTTTAACATTTATTAACAAGTATGAGAACTTAACTAATTTAATACACTTTGGTAGTTTTATATGGAAACCCAGTATTGGGTAAAGGCCTCCTCCAAAGATGCCCAATTGTCTTCTCTCCTATGCGATATTTTTCCAGTTTGGACCGGCTGTCCTTATAATCTCATCTTCCCAACGAGTCAACGGTCTACCTCTATTCCTTTTGCCTAGTGGGCCTTTCCAAAATGTCGTTTTTATGAAGAGATTAGCACCTACAAAACAAAGATCCATTACTTGTCACTTTAAATAATACTATTAAGAAAAAAAAAATTTTTTTAAAATCTGAAATCTAGCAAAGCAATGTGGAGCGTATAGCCTCGAAATATATTTTTTTCAACAAAAGTAAATTGCAAAGGCTATATTACGTTTTGAGCATTAAACTGTTGTTATTAAGCAGTTAACAGTGTTCCACGTTGCGGAGTTTGATATGTTAGAGTTGCTATTTACATGATTGACTACGGTCGTAGTATACTGAAAACATCGTAATTGCTTATTATTCACAGAACAAAAGAAACAAGAGTTAGAGAAGTGGAAACGACGAGCTTCTTACGATCCGAGGAAGGCGGCCGCGCTCGGGAAGACCAGCAAGCCGGCTCCGAAGACCGCCAGGTTCGGTTACTGACATTTCCCCACAATACTGTAGAAATTCGTTTGTTTGGCAACACTAAAAACGCTATAGGCTAACTTAGCCTTAACATTGTCGTATGATTTGCGTGTTTGATTCAAAATTCAGTTTCGTAATTGACTTTGATTCTTTCTTGAATGTCTTTGGTATATCGAATTTGTATCTGCTGATTAATTGCCGTAATCTTCGAACGGACGAGTATTCAGATAACTTGTTTGTACTTGTGAAGAGTTCGTCTTGGAACTTTCCCGAAAGTATTCGGCTTAATAATTTTTCGTTTTTGTGCGTACAGTGTATTTATCTATATCTCGGAATGTGGCTGACTCGGTGATGCAGTATTTAGTGCTCTCCATTTGCTGAGCCGAGGGTCGTGGGTTCGATACCCACTCAGTACAGTTACAACGGCTGCCCCGCCCTTCAAACCGAAACGCATTTCTGCTTCACGACAGAAATAGGCAGGGCGGTAGTACCTACCTGCGCAGATTCACAAAAAGTCCAGTAATTATGCAAATTATAATTTTGGAAGTCAATCGTGAAAATTTGTTTAGTACGTATTTCATTAAATAATCGGTACCCTGGGATTGCCTGGGATTCGAACATCGGTGCATCGCTCAACGCGAATGCACTGAACGTCTTATCCTTTAGGCCACGACGACTTCCTTATTTCTACCCTCCATACTAGAAACTTAAGAAGGTCAATCGTTCTTCGTAGGACCATAGCGGTATTTGTCGAAGATCGAATCAAAGTTTAAATCATATTAATTATAAAGATCATTATGAATGTATCGTTACAATAGTGTTGCCAATAATTAATTATCTATGTCCGTTATTTTAAAATATACGATTTTTTCGTTGCCGTTCGTTTTTATGTTGTATTCTTTGTTGTTTTTATGTTCTTTTTAGTTGTTGTTATAAATATAATTAACATGAAACCGAATTTAACAAAATGTACCTCACTCTGAACGTTTTAACAATAAATAATTTTCTGTAACTTTTAGAGCGTGACAGATGTCAAATTGCATGCAAAGCGTAATTGACATTCGAGGCGCCATCTTGTGTAAGGTTAGTTCAAATGTCAAAGTGACAGCTGTCAAGGCACATCCATGGCCAGCACATGATTTTAATATCGCATTGCCCAAATTAAATTGAACAATATTTAACTTGTTTTGTCGTGTATATTATCAAATTGTGATGGTAAGAATTGATTTTTAATAATTTAATAATGCAGTATAAAGGCTTCGTCAAAGAGAGCGCTAAACTGACGGCGCGCTATGACGCCGAGATGTGTTTGTAGTACTAGGGTAACATACTGTCAAACAGAGCCCCAGCGCTATAAGCACGCAACGCTCTGTCGCGGCGTTAGGACGCTTTGACGTCAGGCATTGTAATTTTTTACAAATTTTATTTTAGCATCCGAGTGAATGTGTATTAAAATACTGGATAATTGCCCGAAAAATTGATAGAAATAGTTAGAAAATACTCATGCTTGTACAATGCCACATCTGAATCACTGGACATTTTAATACTTTTAAATTTTCACACTGCTATCGAAAGGCACTATGATATGGCGAATGTTACGTTGCGTCAAGGAGCGTTGGGTTCATTAGTCAATTTGTGTGACATGTAAAGAGCGCGACGTTAAAACGCAGCGCTACGTACGCATTCTGTTTGACGAAGCCTTAAAGTGTTCGAAAGCACAAAATAATGTATTACCTTAAAAATAAATTCGTACACTGAAGAATAGCAGGCCGTGAAAACTGTTGTATTTTTACTATATGAACACAAAAAAACGCGATGAAGAAGCATTGATCTTACGAACTTTTTTTTTACTGATTACGCTGGCAATGGAGAAATACGACCTGCTTTATGGTGTTTCAGTCAGATTCGCTCACGGACATCAACAATGTCTGGCGAATAGCCAAACCTGACTGGGTTATGAGGGGAAATAAAACCCTACTTAGGACAAGACTAGCCAAATATATTAGTATAAATCTTTGCTTTGTTTATCATCATTCAACGTATACACGAGAAAACAATTTAAATGGTCGTTCGATTTGATAATGCTCTAACAAAAAAAAAAAAAGCTATGTTAATATCTGCTTTAACATTCCTTTTTATTTCTATCTTGTTTTATTGAGTAACAAATGTCAATTAGCTATGTTTGTTTGGGTCTAAGTACAAAATTGTCAAATTGAAACAAAAAAATGCTTAAGCACACTTCAACTTTTATTTGTTGGGTGGGTCCTTTTGACATAATATTGACCTAATTAACCTAAGAAAGACGAAAGTAAAAAATTAAAACCCACACGACTCCAGCTTAGTTGGCATTGTTATCATTTTCAAAGCTTTATAACAATTATTAATATATTTTTAATTATATATACCGCTTTAATGTACTTATTACATAAATCTACATAAAAAAAACTCATATAACAAACGAAGTTCATCCATAGTGTGCCGTTTTGCACAATACCATTCTTTTGTATTTTGTAAATAAGGAATAAATACTATTTGTACATATTCACGTGCCTTACAAGTGGTAAGTATGTAATATTAATCATATCGAGGTGATTTACTGGTGGTAGGACCTCTTGTGAGTCCGCGCGGGTAGGTACCACCACCCTGCCTATTTCTGCCGTGAAGCAGTAATGCGTTTCGGTTTGAAGGGTGGGGCAGCCGTTGTAACTATACTGAGATCTTAGAACTTATATCTCAAGGTGGGTGGCGCATTTACGTTGTAGATGTCTATGGGCTCCAGTAACCACTTAACATCAAGTGGGCTGTGAGCTCGTCCACCCATCTAAGCTATTGCTTAGCTAATTTTTTTTCTAAGTAAGGTTATTTGGTTTAAGCAATATTTCGATTAATACGTACGCGAGATTTATCAGTGTAATTAAAGGTGCGTTTTATTTGGTATTAGCATCAACAGTTCAATGTTTTTAATTGAACTTCAATCAAGTTTATTTTTATGGTTGGACGAGCTCACAGTCCACCTGGTGTTAAGTAATTACTGGAGCCTATAGGCATCCACAACGTAAATGCGCCACCCACCTTTAGATATGAGTTCTAAGGTCTCAAGTATCAAGTCACAACGGCTGCCCCACCCTTCAAACCGAAACTCATTACTGCTTCACAGCAGCAATAGGCAGGGTGGTGGTATCTACCCGCGCGGACTCACAAGAGGTTCTACCACCAGTAAAAGTTTATCATGTCAATCAAGTTTACTCCATTCGAATAACCGAAGTTTTTTGGTTATAATATTTTTATTTTCAAATTTTAAACTTTAAATGTATCTCCTGTAAAGTTGCAAATATGTCGCTAAAAACCAAATATCCTTTCACTATCGATATGTAAAAACTTGCAGCAAGTCTTAATAATAATAATAATTTATTTATTTCTCTCTTAAAGGTATATAGTACAAATACAAAAGGAAATTAACCTTATAATTTATTTTGTAAGCCTTTGAAAGAGCTGAAATCTGTACTAGGTTCAAAGACCTGTATTACTGATCTCCAGGCTCCGTCATCTTAAGATAAATTAGGTTAGGTTAACTCGTGAACAGATGCTGCGGACTAGTGTTGAGAGATCATTAGGTGTTATCATTCAAGAAGGTCATTAAAAATAATAATTTTAATATAAACGCTGTAACAATACTCTTTGGATAAAATTGTGTGTATGTGGCGCCATCTGTAATATTAATATTTAATTTCGTTTCCCGCCCGCAGTAGCGTTCTCCGTTCGCAGTCGTTTCACGGACCGGTGCTGGCGTCGTCGACTACCCGCTACTGTCCGCCTACAGATATCACCGAATTATACGACGCATCGAGCGACAACGATTTCTAACCTTGGAACCTCGATAATCTTAACTGTACAGAAATAAAAATCAAGGGAAATACCGTCCGATCCGAATGAGGCAGACGCCAATCTATACTACTATATAAATCTACAGTGGTTTTTACGTATGTTCCGTTATAACTACTGAACCGTGCATCCGATTGACTTGAAACTTGGTATCCATGTAAAAAATACATGTAATTAATGGATAGGTTAATATTTATATGTTAAATAAGTGTTGGACTCCCTACACCAGTTGCGGGGGCGTTAATGATGAGAATCTTTGCGGGGGCGAGAAATAATAGTGTTAATTTCAAATGCCCAGCGTAGCGGACGGGTACAATTAGTGCGTGTATAAAAAAAATATTAACGTTTAAAAGTACGGTACATACACAATTTCCCCCCTAAAGTTATGTGAAGAAATTGTCATCACGATCATTTTAAAAAAAATATTAAATGTCAATGTCACATTTGCCGCCTATTCCAACCGATGATGTTTTATTTCTTTATTTACATATTGGCGCAAAGGATTGTGCGAACATGATGCCTCTGCGGATCGGACACGTTCGGTCGCTTGTATAATAACATAAAAATGTTATGAAATGAGACCAAGTAAAATTAAATATTATGTGTCTAGTGATGACACGTCATCTTGAGTAGTTGATTAAAGTCAGTCACTGGAAGAATGTGATTTGTTCTTTGTACAGCTTCAGAGTGCGGTCGAAAAATGATAATATTTGCGCGATTATAAAAGTCATAAAACGTTAAGTTTGCTCTTCCTCGACCGCATTTTGTAGCTATACACACACAGGTGCTTACAACTTTGTTTAAGAACATTATTGCGACGAATTTAACGCAAGTATAAAAATTTGTTCATATTTTTCATTCATACCGAAGACAAAAATTTATGGGTACTTATAAAATATGCACGTATTTTCATGTATTCACGGTCTCTTTAACTCAATTATGTAACTTGCAGTTACGAAAAAAAGGCAAAAATTATAACACAATTTTTTTTTTCATTTGTAGCACAATATCTTAGTTTACATTTTTGTATTTTTTTTAAAGTTTGTCGAAAAGATAATAACGGATAGAGAATAAGACAAGGAATGGATAATATCATGTAAATATACCGCTTCATAATAAAAAAAAAAAGTCCAATACAATAAAAAACAAATTAAGTAAATTTTGGCGCTAAAGTTGCGGTTTTTTTGCTTCATGTATCTATACAGATTATATTAGAATATTCTATTATTCACGTAAGAATTGTTAAGTGTCAAAATGTGTCAAAACGACAAATAAAGAGCGATACGCCCCAAAAAATTACGTCTTCAACTTTTGTAAAGTATTTATCATGAAATAATTAAGATTAAAATAAATGTAAAAAAAAACATATATATATTATATTAAATGTGATTTAAATGTAATGCCTATAGCATTTTAAGATGATTAATCGCTATTTATGAATTGGTAAATTATAAAAATCAAGTCCTTTGTAATTCGACACTCGTGTGTTTTCAAAGTGACATGTGTCATGTTTGACATCTGTCACTAGCGTGATCGCTTCGAACGAATATTGATTTAGCCCTATCCGTATTGCTCACTTCGTCCATACATCGATGAATTATATTATAGTGTTTAATAATTATTATTTTAAATCATTTTTATTAGTGCAATTTTCGCATCACATCGTATTTTTGTTTTTTGCTTTAAACTAGTTTATGTTTAGATTTTACGAGCTTCGAAAATTATTTTACGTGTTATTTTTTGGTAGAGATGGCGTTAGTCTTAAATAATTTGAAACGTTAAGATATTGCGAATCAAATGGGGGTTTATTTTTGTGCGGTGGTTTGGTTCTCGTTGTGGTCCATAGTCATGTATACGAGCGACGGTAACCACTTCACATAACGTCGACTCGTTTGCCTTATCCGTAGGCTGGTAGGCTGCATATCGTTAATGAAAAGGAACCTTTTATTATGCACAGTAAAAGAAACAGCTGAGTAAATGCAGTCCTTAACGCTATCAAAATAAAGTCTAAGTTTACATACAGTAAAAATTGTATAATGTCAAGTGGTACCAAACTACAAAAAAAAATTTAAAAAATCATTAAAAGATAAATATTTATATCTATTTATGCATTCTGACTTAAATTTGTATATCATTTTAATTACTTCGGTCCTTTTGAGTTGTAAACACAATCAAAATTACTTTTACAGTTTAGCCCTTTGAGTGCGAACCGTTGATAGATCGACTCTCTATTGATGCGTATAAAGTGCGTAGCGTCGGAATACCGACTATTTGCAATCAGTTTGATTATAGGCACTAAGTATCGACCTGTACGGACATGACTTATGGCGCGCACGTCTTTTTTTTTCATTTAATAAAATTTTAAATAACGGCTTAAAATTATTTTACTGTAAATTTACCATTGATCTTGTATTTTTTCAAGTTTTTTTTTTATATGAAATGTGTTTACAAATAAGAATTGAGGCGGTCAGCGCAAAAATTGTCTAAGCTTGCCATAGTTAGTATGGAGATAATGAAGTTTGAATTTAATTATACACTGCTTCGTGAGCAAAAAAAATACGCGCGAAAAAATAATGTTTACAAAGTCATAATAAAATGTAATCTATGGATGAAACTAGGGATTAGGATAGGGTGTTGCATCAAAATTAATTATGTATTAAATAAATTGCAATATATCGTCTTCTCGCATTAAAACTGTATAATCTCAAAACTTACGAATTTTACAGGAGAGTGTTTTAAAGGTTTAACATGTGATATTTTTAATATTAACCGTCTTTGCAATATTTTATTTTTTATTTTTTACCATTATCTGTCTATTAAAGTATAATAAAATTCAGTATTAATTTTGTTAATAGTAGTCAAAACATAGGTAAACTAAAAAAATAAAAACTAAACTACTCTCTTTTGACAGTATTTATGAGAAAAATACTGGTGATACCAAATGATTCCGCATATTAACTCAATTTCGAATACTTTAGGAAATTATACGCTTTTAATGCGAAAAGACGGAAAGATATAAGTTTTTGTTGCTTAGATTGGTGGACGACCTCACAGCCCACTTGGTATTAAGTGGTTACTGGATCCCATAGATATCTACAACGTAAATGCGCCATCCACCTTGGGATATAAGTTCTAAGATCTCAGTATAGTTACAACGGCTGCACTACCCTTCAGACCGAAACACATTACTGCTTCACGGCAGAAATAGGCAGGACGGTGGTACCTAACCGCGCGAACTCACAAGAGGTCCTACCGCCACCACCAGACTATGTAAAATTGTGGGTTAAGCCACTTTTGCGCTCACGGCCCCAATATATCTATTGCCATCTCTGCCTACGGAAGTCAGCGGTTTGGCTTTTCTCCATAAAGAACAGCTACACTAGTAAATATAATATTTTCAAGTTAACATTGTTACATTTTTTTATTGAAATAAATTAAAATGTTTAGTATATTATTTTGTCTTCAATTTTTGAAGTTTTTATTACGAAAAGATACTTAACGGTTTTTTTATTATTATTATTATGTGTTTTTACATATTTTCAAAACCGTATGATGGTGATGATTTTATTATAAAGAAACTACGCGCAGTGTTGGAAGCTTTATATTATATTGAATGTAATATTTTTTTCATATTGTTTTGTACAATCCAAGCTTTAAGTGTAGTTTTAAAGTATTTTTTTTTTTTTTTTTATTATTATATTTTTCGTTTCGTCCAAAAGTTTTAGCCAGGTTTAATAATTAATCAACGTAATATTGTGTTCAATCTTTCAATTGATTATTTTAAAAACAAATTTCTTGCGAATATGTCCGAAAATGTTATTTAGATTTGCTTAGAACGATAATGCTTTACTTAGTACTTTTGTAAGAGTTATAATTTATATTATTATAAAATGATAAATCTTAACTCAGNCTTTTAGAGCGTGACAGATGTCAAATTGCATGCAAAGCGTAATTGACATTCGAGGCGCCATCTTGTGTAAGGTTAGTTCAAATGTCAAAGTGACAGCTGTCAAGGCACATCCATGGCCAGCACATGATTTTAATATCGCATTGCCCAAATTAAATTGAACAATATTTAACTTGTTTTGTCGTGTATATTATTAAATTGTAATGGTAAGAATTGATTTTTAATATTTTAATAACGCAGTATAAAGGCTTCGTCAAACAGAGCGCGTCAGAGCGCTAAACTGACGGCGCGCTATGACGCCAAGATGTGTTGTAGTACTAGGATAACATACCGTCAGACGTAATTTTTTACAAATATTATTTTAGCATCCGAGTGAATATGTATTAAAATACTGGATAATTGCCCGAAAAATTGATAAAAATAGTTAGAAAATACTCATGCTTATACAATGCCACATCTGAATCACTCGACATCTTAATACTTTTAAATTTTCAGACTGCTATAGAAAGGCACTATGATTTGGCGAATGCGTTGCGTCAAGGAGCGTTGGGCTCATCTAGTCAATTTGTGTGACACGAAAAGAGCGCGACGTTAAAACGCAGCGCTAAGTACGCGTTCTGTTTGACGAAGGCTTAAAGTGTTCGAAAGCTCAAAATAATGTATTACCTTAAAAATAAATTCGTACACTGAAGAATAGCAGGCCGTGAAAACTGTTGTATTTTTACTATATGAACACAAAAAAAAACGCGATGAAAACGCATTGATCGTACGAACATTTTTTTTTATTGATTATTCTGGCAGAGGACAAATACGACCTGCTTTATGGTGTTACAGTCAGACTCGCTCGCGGACACCAATAATGTCTGGCGAATAGCCAAACCTGACTGGGTTATGAGGGGAAATAAAACCCTACTTAGGACAAGACTAGCCAAATATATTTGTATAAATCTTTGCTTCGGTTTACCATCATTCAAGGTATACACGAGAGAACAATTTAAATGGTGGATCGATTTGATAATGCTCTAACAAAAAAAATAAGCTATGTTAATATCTGCTTTAACATTCCTTTTTATTTCTATCTTGTTTTATTGAGTAACAAATGTCAATTAGCTACGTTTGTTGGGTCTAAGTACAAAATTGACAAATTGAAACAATAAAATGCTTAAGCACACTTCAACTATTATTTGTTGGGTGGGTCCTTTTGACATAACATTGACCTAAATAACCTAAGAAAGACGAAAGTAAAAAATTAAAACCCACACAA